GACTAAATGGTTCACATCACACCAGACGGAAACATTTACCGCTGCAGCCGAAAGACTTGATGTAAATGACACAACTACAAGTGCCGCGAATAACACCATCCTCAGGCAAGTGTCTTATGCTACCGGAGATAAGAAGATTGCCGAAACAACGGCAGATCTCAAAGCAGCAGTATCCGGAATTGCGCCGCAGGCCTTTCGAGACAATCTTGCGGATGACATGGAACTGAATAGCGACTCTGATGACGATTCAGACAGCGGATCCGAAATGTTCCAGCGTGACAAAAGCCCCGAAGATGAAGTGGCCATGAAACCCCAGCTTCCAATTTACAGAAAAGGTACTCTCATATGCATCGTTCCGAATCATACCCAAGAGGCGCTAACTGTAAAACTCAGATCGACAAGCTGGTTTCCTCGAACACGAAAGAAACAACATCCCTAAGCACCTTAAAGCAACAACTTGGGGAAAACGGCAGAAACCTATCATTTTTCTCGATGACGTGTTCGATTGCACGCACTTCTTTGGCGAGATGGATTAAAGAATGGGTTATGAGAGATGGCTATTGGCACGCCACCCGTGAAGTGCACCATATGCTGGTTGATATAGCGGCAGACATAGAGTTTCTGGAAGAGTGTCACGAGTGGGCTGACTCAAGTGAAGAGGATGATATGGACATGATCAACGGCATGCTTTCTGAGAGCACACGGCAATTCGCTGAGCTTCAACGGGCGATCCAAATATCCGAAGGCAGTGTAGGACATGACACAGTCATGGGACGCTCGCCATCGCGACGTGCTTGGGGCGGTCTTTACTCAGGCACCGCGCTTGCGTTGACGTTGAAAAATATCGAGCATGTGCCCGAGATCCATGACATGAGGTGGTCGTGTCTCTACGAGGACCACCGCCTCTTAGCGGGGAGCGTTGACGATCTCAGATGGGTGCGAGATTATCGTATGTCTAATTTGCCCACGAGGCCAACCGTCAATGATTTAGCCATCTTTGACGATTAGAAATCCCGATATTCTATGGCGTCAATACTTTTGGAAGACGATGTCAGTCGTGTCATTCTATCAAGGCTTGCTGCCGCATGACAAGTTTATCCGCAATCACATAGACCGGCAATTATTGTTTCTTCATATCAGTCATGAATTGTCATTATACTATACACATATTTCTATTTTGATACAGATGTTCCCGATTACTCCTGCGCAATCTTCAAGACAGCCTTACCGAAGTTCTGTCCCGTAAGCATACCAACGAAACCCTCAGCGGCCTGGTCAATGCTCTCCGTGACGTGAACCTTGACCCTCAAGTCACCCTTGGCAATAAGAGGCTGCACCTTCTCCTGGAAGGGCTTGTACTTGGCGGGGGACAGGTCGACGAGGAAGCCCTGAAAGGAGAGCTTCTTGGCGACGAGGTGGAAGAGTCCACGGACACCCTTCTGCTGCTCGAGAGGGGTGTTGTAGTCGGAGATCATACCGCAGCCGATGATGCGGCCCTTGGGGTTGAAAGACTCCAGAGCGGCCTCGAGGTGGTCACCGCCAACGTTCTCGAAGTACATATCGATACCCTGGGGCGCGAGGCGCTTCAGGGCGTCACGGGGAGACTCCTTCTTGTAGTTGAAGCCGCCATCGAAGCCGAGCTCGTTGATGATGAAGTCGAGCTTCTCGTCAGAGCCGACGGAGCCAATGACCTTAACGCCCTCAGCCTTGGCCAGCTGTCCAACAATCTGGCCGACGGCACCAGCGGCGGAGGACACGAAGATAGTCTCGCCCTTCTGGGGCTTGCCGATGTCGTAGAGTCCCTCGTAGGCGGTCATACCGGGCATGCCGAGAGCGCCGACGAAGAGCGGGAGGTCGACGTTGTGGGTGTTGGGGACCTTGAAGAAGCCCTGGGTGAACTTGGCGGGGATGACGGCGTACTCGGCGTTGGGGCCCATGAAGGAGGTGACGAGGTCGCCGGCGGCGAACTGCGGGGTGTCGGAGCGCTCGACCTTTGCGACAATGGAGGAGACGATGGTGGCGCCCTGCTCAAAGGGCGGGATGTAGGACTTGCCGGCCTCGGCGGGGCGCATGCGGCCGCGCATGTAGGGGTCGAAGGAGGAGTAGAGGACCTTGATCAAGATGCCGCCGTTGAGAGGCTGGTCGAGGTCGATGGGGCGGTCCTCGACGGTGAGGTCTTGGCCCGGGACGGGCAGGCCCTTGGGGACCTGCTTGAAGACGAAGCACTTGTTGGAAACGGGAGCCATTGTGATGAGTTGTTGACGATCTGAGGAAAGGGGTATCAAAGGGTTGGGTATCGTGATATTTTATAAGATGAATGACAAAAATGTGAATATAGGATGAGATTGTACTGCTGTTTCAAAAGTCAATTCAATCTTGGGACGGGATAGCTGGTTTCTTAAATGGGATTTGAGCACTTGCTCCAGATCATGACGAAGCTCCATCGGGCCCGCTCCGGGTCCGACGAGGTGGTCCCTTGATGCTGGCCTTCATGGCAAACACGGGGTTGCCAGCGGCCGGGCCATGCTCTTCAGAAGGCGGTAGAAGCCATAACGTCATGATGGAAGAATGGCATAGCACACGTCGAACAACCCACTCGTATGGTTGTCCTCTCGGTGGGGTATGGGTTTCGCCTTCTGATCTAGGCTTGGCTGTCAGTTCGTGAAATGGTTCCCCGATCTAGGATAGCCTGGGAATCCTGCCAGCTTGTTTTGGAACGAGTGCTTCTCTCAAGGATTGCTTGGCTGATCGCTTGACCGCTTGCCGTGTGGATAATTAGTAAGTCAGCGCTCTGTGCGAACATTTTTTTTCTTCCAATTTTTTGCCCCTCAATTCTGTCACTGACATCAAGATGCCGCGGCTCGTGGCGGGGCTACCCGCTGCACGAAACGGTAAGCGGTCTGTCGCTAGGCCAATGAAGCTAATTGATCCCTCCATGGACCGGGGACTTGGTTCCTGTTCTTTCTTAGGGTTGTTTTGTTGATAACGCTATGGTCGGCGTTAAGGTACTAATGCTACGCTCTGTAGTATGTACCGCCACGTCGCTCTTCTCTGGTCTGCAAAACTGACGGAGTCGGGATTGCCGCTTTGTCCAGGAAGCCCCGAGTCAGGAGTCCGTCCCATCACTGACTAGCTCTTGACAACATTTCGTCGTGTCGCCTCAGAACACTGACAGAGCCACAGAAATCTCTGCCATGAAGCAATGATGACAAAGCGACCACCAGATATCTCCGGAGCTGGCTGCCCATTCTGGTGTTCTGGCTCCGAATGAAGCTCCTAGAGCCGCCGGCCGTGTTCCCGGTTACCAGGTCCGCGGCCGAGGCATGGAGAGTCTGGCCAGGCGGTCGGGACGGAGCCGAGGTTGACTTTGGACCCCTTTGATGAGCCTTTCAAGCGTTGCAGACGGGGTCCGGGGCAATTGATGGTGTCGGGCAAATGATTGCTCCAGAAGTCGAGCACTGAGAGAGGGGCCAGATCCAGTTGTGAACTTGTGTGATGGTATTCTTGATTTCAAAGCCACAATTTCCGCCCTCCACATCGTCCCAATTCCGCTATCCACTTGGGGCGATCATCCACTGATTCTTCTCGAATTCTCGAAATCTCCGATCGCCCGCTGCCCATGCTGTTCTTCAATGATGTGCCGAGTGACATGCTGGCAAGGGTCCTAAGCAGCATCTGCCGGGAGCAAATGTTTTGTTGTCGCCATCATCCTCGCGTGTCCCTTGATGGTTTCTTTCTCTGGGATCTTTGTATCGGACGCGGTATCCGCGGACACAGTCACGAGTTGAACACCTGATGATGACCCGGATTCAACCCAGTATTCTTCATAGCCCGTTGGTACGAACCCGATCTTTTCGAAGAACTGGTTTCCATCCTCTGTGGCCGTGAGTGCTGCCAACAAATATCAGTCACCATTTGTCCTCCATCGCATGCTCTCGACAGAACTCACCCGACTGCCCGATGACCCTCCACCCTTTCTCCGCCGCAGCTTCGACGACAGAGTTCATCGCGAACCTTCCGAACCCAGGCATCCTCATCTCAGTCTGGGGATCGTCGGTCCTCTCGATATGGAATACATGAAGCCCAACCTCTGCGCCTTGGTCGCTATCGCGGGGAAACATGGTCGCAGGATCAATGTCCGTCTCCTTGAGCTTACCGACCAGCAAATGGCGCCAGAATGAGGGGAGGACAGGGAGAGCGATGATGGTGCCGGCCAACGGCCACGACATCCACTCGCTTCTGACGGCGGTGAACCAGAAGCATGAGGCAAGCTCTGGTGCTGCGTCCGTCCAGCTCCGGAGGCGGTCCAAGGTGAGCGGCGCGGGGTACATGTCCTGGTCCGACCGGAAGATGTCTTTCAACATTTCATCGTCGAGGCCTTCCGCCATCAACGGCGCCTGCGGGGGGTTCTGTGGCTGTTTCTTCGGGGGCATTATTGAAATTCGACTCTGTCCACAGTTCGATGATTGATGACGTTGAAAGAAGGTGAAGATACAGCAAGATGACGCGCCTTACCTCGCGCCCTAATCGTTCTTGTTGGGGCGCGTAGCGGAATGCCGGCATGACGCGCGCTGTGGAAGTTCTGCCACGGGGGTTGAACCCCACCAGACCTCCCCCTGATGCGACCCAAGCCACGGCGAGCAAGGTGGCCACCCCCAAGAATATGTAAGGTAAGACAACGTGGATTGCATGACAGATGCCTGAACTTGGAGTGATGAAACAATGTTCGATATGGCATCGAAAGATTTCTCTTTTAAGTATGGTTCAGTAATAAGTGTCTTTGGAAGTTTGCATTTGTAAAGGCTTCACAAGCTGGCTCTGTTTAAAGTTTGGCTGTGAAGATTCCGCATTGTTCATCCTCCGCAGTCATTGAAAGTACATGATTTGACGAAAATGTTTTCAATTACCGCCAAGCACGCAGGTCCCTCCGAGAATACAAACTCGCCAGAAAGATCCAAAACTCAGCTAGGTGATATTGTGGAGAGTTTCCTGGTACTTTCCTAAATCTGAGGGATGATGGTTGCAGCTTGCTCAGCGAGGGCGTAAGTCGCAACCTGCAAGTGGGCAGCGATCGGGACAGGGAACACTGAAGTGTCCACCACGAACAGGTTATCGAGTCCCTTCACCTTCAGGTCATTGTCCACAACCTTTCCCATAGACGCGGTGCCAGAGGGATGAAAGGCAGATCTTTCACGAAATGGATAATTAGCATCAAGACACTAGGAACACTTTGCGACGTTGTGCAACTTACCGGACAGACGCGCGAAGACGATTGTTCAGGGCATCGTCCAGGATCCCTTCTGTAAGAGCATCCTGCCCCTCAGAAATGATCTCACCTCCAAGGATCTCGCTTCCCAGAACAGTGGTGTTACTCCCAGCGAACCGCTACTGCAGGCGCTGAGCCTCTCGGTGCGCGTATCGGTCAAAGTTGGTACCGAAGTAGTTGGGATCGACGACCGGGAAGTCCCTCGCGTTGGTGGAGGCAAGAGTAACGGTTCCCCGAGAGGTCGAGAGAAAGAGGATAGACGTGAAGCTGACGGTGCTTCCACTTGCACCACCTCCGTAGCTGAAGTACTGGAACACATGCTCCAAGAGAGTACGATTCTGCTGAAGCAAACGATGCGTGCTCAGATCCGGCGCCACGCCCTCGTCGGCTTCGATCGCTGCAGCCAAGCCCTGTGCATCGACGGATGTGGACACCATGAAATCCTGCGGCTTGCCCCATCCATACTGCTCCTGGTCGAAGAGTGGGTTTCCGGAACCTGGGATCCAGCCTTCCTTTGGGTTCCTGATGGCCTACGATGTCGTTGAAGAGGAGTGCTCCATGAAGTTCTTGCCCACTTCAGGCGATTCGACCTTAATCTCGATACCATGGCGCTCTAACTCATCACGAGGACCAATGCCGGAGAGCATGAGGATCTGAGGCGTTCGAAGGGCGCCGGCTGATAGGATGACTCGTCGGCTGATAATCTGCGTGCCATTTGCAAGCTGAACTCCGGATGTATGTATTGTTCCATTCGTAGAGACAAGCACTTTCTCGACTAGAGTATCAGCGAGCACAGTAATGCCATCGAGCGGATAGATCATTGAAGCGATCTTTCTTCGACCGTTGTGCTTGTTCTCGGAAAAGTCACCAACGCCAAGAGGATTGCCTGCGTTGCCATCAAGCCCCGGCAGGGTAGGTACTCCAATCTCATTCCACGACTGGAGCACGTATTCGCGAAGAGGGAAGGGTCTGCTTGTCGACGTGACCGTTTGAGCAAAGACGTCGCCAATGTAGCCGTGTTGTTCCTGGTTCCGGTCGGGGTGTTGGAAGACTTCGGACTGCCTCATGAAGGGAAGCTGACCGGCATATGACCAGCGGTCATCGCCAACCGTAGCTCCCCATTCGTCGTAGTCGGCCTTCTCGCCTCGAACCCAGTTTCCTACACAACAGGGGTTGTTTCAATAAAGACAAATAGGAGACAGCTCAGAAAACCTACCAGCATTGATCAAAGTGCCGCCTCCCAAACCGGTGCCTAGAAAGATGTCGAGGGTCCGGTTGTTGAGGTTGACTTGCGGCGCGGTAGGAACGTTCCATCGAAGGTCTGCACCACCAGTGCCATTTGGCCAGACGATGTCCTGCCGATCGTTGGCATTGGGGCCAGCTTCGATGACCAGAATGTTGGGGCTGTTGTTCAGACCCAACAGGCGGTTCGAGACAACTGAACCGGCCAGGCCACCACCAACAACGATGTAGTCCCACAGCATAATCTAGAAATGTTGCCGGTCTCAATGAAAGCAGGGCAGAGATTGACAAATGCTCGGTTCTGTAAGGTCCAATCTTGACATCACTTACAGGAGAAGAGCAGCGAATAAATACATTACCACAATAAAGTACCCCTATCTCTGTCAAAGCTCGCGTCTTGGCCCGAACATGAGGCCGAGCGATGATATCAGTTCACTAAGACTTTAAATAACGATCAGGGTTAAGTCGGTCCTTTCAACGTCGCCATCCCCGGCACGCATCGTGACCTTCCTATGGCGTTGACCTCTCCGTGCTTTCGTAGAGGCTTGGTCGTGTATCAATGGTTTGAAGTGCTGTCATCGGCACAATCTCTTGCGCAATGATTGTAGGGGCCTGGCTTTGGTGCTCAACAAGGAGCTCCCGGGGGAGCTCAAGCACCTCGGTGGCTGTTGCGATGGGTCTAGATATCAGCCGGTGGGATGTCAGCAAGTTGCATGTCAGCAGGTAGCATGAAGCGTCATTTCGGATCACATCAGGCGAGGCTCCTTATTCCTGCATTACACGATATCAGTTTGACAATCCAGGCATACTGAAGGCTCGGAGTGATCCAACTAGTACGACTGTGATTATTGCTTCTTTCAACTCCTGGAGAAGGACTTACGAGGCTACTTGCCTACCCAGGATCCCTCGAAGCCCCAAATCAATACAACCCTGTGTCGACGGGTCTTCATGCAGAACACGTCGGGAAAGCTTTTGGATGCCAAGCAGCCGACGGGATGCTGAATTGATGCTGCCAGCTGACATTGCCGATCCCCATGGCGCATCTTCTTTGTGTGCAGAGCTGAGAACAGCAGCCCCGCAGGATAGAGATCATGGCTCCTCCTAAGAAGTACACATAGGAAAACTCGAGTTCGCGCTTGTGTATCTGTCATTATGGAAGGTCTTCTTTATACCTTCCAAGTCTTTCAGCGGCGAATTTCATTTGCTCCTGGTCGTTTCAGAGCAGGAATGGTGACGAACGAGATTCTTTCGGCACGCTCGAAATGAATAATTACTAACTCTGTCTGTACCCACACAAGGTGACCATAGTGCCAGAATCCAATTTCATGTTCTCACTCAGGCAATTGGAAGTAGATCAACTCCCCTCTAGCCGCCTCGTGCTGCTCCGGGTTGTTAACGGTGGAAAGCAACAGACGGTCAAGCCCCGGGGTGCCCCGTATGTAATTATAAACAATACCAATCACCGATACAGCAAGCATCATATCGCTGTCGCTGGCAAATATCATCGACGGAGCCAGACGCATGATCCTCAACGCTTCGGCCATCGGCTGCCAATGGTGCTTAATCTCTTCTGGTATATACAGCGGCCCGCTCGTTGTCTTCTCGAAACCCCTTTCTGGCGGGAAGGGCTGAGGTTCACGATTGCCAGTACGCAGAACATGTAGAACCTGCATGACATAAACCAGAGTTGAGTTGTATATCAGGAGATCCGTCGCCTGGTTAGCTGATTTAACGTCTATAGCCCTCGTCAAGATTTCTTTAACCCAAGGGATCGTGATACCATCTGCGTCTTGTGGCAGATGCAGCCACACTTCTGTGGCTACCTTGGGATTGACGACTTCCCAGTCTTTCCTCCACTTTTGCAGGCGTGACAGATGATCCCACGCTCTCAACTCGACATCAAACTTTTGACCTTTTGTCAAAGGGATTGATGAGGGGCCAAGCATAGCGCCGAGGCCAGGCAGGTCGACGTACATGTCTATGAGCCGGTCGTGCAGGGTCTTTGGGTTGTGTTTCCAGGGTATGGTCTTCCAGGCTACTTGTTCGAAGAAAGAGGCTTCTTTGTGGAAGAAAGAGCTGCATGACTAAGTTTAAGATGTTCGAATGAGCCTTACGTCTGGACCAGTGAATAGTTCTATTGGAGATACTTACGTGTTGCGCTCGTATCTGTCTAAATATCGTCAACATGGGCTCGTGCTGGAAGTGCTCTGGCCCGCAAAATTCAATGACTTGAATCACCCCAACGTAATGTGGAAGGTTTGCATTGGCCTCAATGGTGTACTGTTCAGTTATTAGCTCGGTATATGCTATGTCTCAAGCTACGTTTCATCTTCAACGGACGTTAGGATAATGGAAATACGCATACCTGGTACATGCACAACACCATAATAGTGAGAGTCCAACGCGCCATGTCATCTTTTGACTTTTCTTGAAGCGCCCAGTGAAGTGCTCTGATCACGCCGCCGTTCATCTCGTAGCCATCCGACACCATTTGGGGCTTTCCCGTCAACGTTCCCATGTACGCCAGAGCAGTCGCCAGACCCGCGGTATAATGCGCCTTTTCTGCCTTTGTGGAGTTCGCCGATATTGACGTACTCAGCAACGGTTTCCAAAACGGTGCCCAACGGTAGTTAGCCAACAAATGCGAGAACGCCATGGTGTTACAGAAGGCGGTCAACGGCAGCTCTGGTGCAATCTTGGCCCGCAGGACTGGTGCGGAAGTCACGGGAACTAAAGCTGGGCTGCCGCTGCTCTCCCCACTGACCGTGTAGTTCTGCATGCGGAGCGGCAGATCATAACCCAGGCATTTATGACCTGACTTGGCACATCGGCCGCATTCTGGGCGTTCCCTGCCTGATGATTGGACAATCCGTCAGCTCCGAAGTGCCCGCGATGAGATGTGAGATCCTGCCGGCCGGAGGTACTTACCGCATTTCACCCGCCTTCGCCGGCAGGTGTGACAGTAGCCGCTCGTAGGCGCGCGTCTCATCTCGGCGGCCTGACTCGTGATGGCCAAAGAAGAAGCAATGCTGTGTCTTGGTCTGCAACTTGCCGGCCCGAGTCCTGAGAAGGGTGCGTGATGATGTGTCAAGGGCGCGGAGACGTGTGTGGTTGTCTCCGAAGAGAATGACAAGAGTCACAAGACAGTGATTGTGTTCTCAATCAGGAAACTTTCGTCGGCCTCAATTGACAACAAACAAAAACACCGTCTCTGCGATATTTAAACTGCGCGCTTCAAAGCAGGCGCGGGGTGCAAAAGTGGACTTGGCCGACATGAAACGGTCTGCCACTGACAAATTCGGAGCGTTACCCGGATGTGCGGGTCGACTGACGACGTTCGTCAGCAAAGATGCTGCACAAAGGTTCGAGGCCCTTGTCAGCGCTAAACCCTTCATGAGAGAGATGCTGCAGAAGCGATGTGTACCCTGGGCATTCGTAAGTGCGGGCCTATCACGACTCGTTCTGCAGAAGGATTCATCACGACTATTGGATGATCTACCGCGCCGGGGATGTCTCGATGTGGTAAGTTTGCTCGAGATGCAGAGAACCGCGCATAAGGCTGATATTGTTAGCAGGCATCATGGTTGAAGTCTGACTGATTGAGGCGCTAGAATCCCCATGATTCTGAGGGAAGGTAAGGGGAGTGATTTGGGGGAAGCAAAAACGAAAAACAAACGCAGTAATACAAAAAGCAGAAGGTCCAACGTCGGATGCCTAGTATGACTTGGTATTGAGCTATCATTGAAACCATTCTCGCCACCTTGATTATGGGCTGGGAAAATGTGTATCAAATGCTGTCAGCTGTGAGACGGCCTGCCTCTTCCACAAAAGAGCACTGATGGTCAATATACCAATTTAAATAGAATCTGTGGATTGAGTAAGAATCTAAACCCCCTTCCTCTTATTCCTAGAAACAGACATCCACACGAGTGGCAAAGCACCACGAAGCTGTGGGGCTCTGAGAGCCTATTCATCACCTTGACCAACGTCCTCCCAGAAGGGTTGGCAACTTTGTCCTGCTACAGCAGGTGATTACTGGATTTTGGTTAGACAAAGGGACCGACTGAGTGACTACATGTAGGTTAACTTGATGGGCTGAGATTTCATAATGGTTATGATACAATACTCAAGGTTCCTGTTAAAACATTGCAATAGTGCGCAAGTACTTCAACGAGCCTCTCGTGATAGATCCATGAAAGGAGGCCGGACAGAGCGAAACTCTGGAGAAGATAGATTCCCACACGCACCAAGTGGCTATCGTATCACCGCACATACGAATGGCGACATAGTAGCGGCAAAGCCAGTGTGTGGTCAAATCTGTCAACTCGTGGGCCCGGTAGCCGTATCGAACATGTACTCCATTGTCATTAACGTCTATATACGACACACTCCGTCTGCACGTCAACTGTATGTTCTAGGGGCTGGCGGTTGCCCTGCTGCAACCCCACCATTTTTGTACTCTCTCCGACAGGCAACCCATATATCAACGAATACGAAACCGTACCCTTATGTAATCATAGTCTCGTCCCTTTCAATTACGACTCTCAGCGTGTCTTTAGGACGCAGCGTGAAATTCGGGTTCGCTAACTCGATTGTACCGTCGTATCCAGGCTGTGGCGAGAACGTAAAGTTGCGGACGAGGGCAATGATGACGGACTTGATGTTGAGTAGTGCCATATTCTTCGCGATGCATCCAGAAGGACCCTGGAGGAATGCCTCCATAGCGTAGGAGTCCTTAGCGGCACGACCGTCGGACCAGCGGTCGGGGTCATAGACGTGCGCGTCCGGGCCCCAGAAGGCGGTGTTGAAGTGTGCGACGGCTGGGCAAAGGGTGACCTGAGTGCCCTTTGGGACAAAGACGCCACAGACTGTGACGTCTTCTGCGGCCTCGCGGGGGAGGAAGATGCCTGGAAGATCATAGATGTCAGCAAAACCTGTGAGAAACTGACGCAGGAGTTGGAGCGCACCTGGTGAGTAGTATCGTAGAGTCTCGCGGAGGAAGTTGTTGAGGTATGAGAGATGCTCGACCTCCTCATAGGTAGGATCCCAGTCCCGCGGCTTGCCAGAGCAGAGCTCGTTGACTTCCGATTTGAGGCGCGCCTGGACGCCAGGGTTCGCAGCAAGGACGTATGCAACCCACATGAGGGTTGAGCCAGTTGTCTCATGGCCTGTTACTAACGTCAGAGGTTTCTTTGGGTAAAAATAGGTAGTTCAATCCATAATTGCTTACCTCCAGCGATGAAGTTGAGCATGTACTCCAACAGCTCCTCATCAGTCCACAGCCTCTCTCCCTCCTCAAATTGGCAATCTTCCATAATGAAAGTCAGGATATCCCTTCTTTCCGATCTCTTCTCTCCATCCAGTCCGCGCTTCTCTCGCATCATCTCCATGGTGCGGTTGCCGACGCAGTTCAGCAGCATGGTTCTAATGAGAGCCACGTCGTTGAGCCACATCTTGTTGCTCTTGAGTGGCAGCCACGAGCGAACCGGTATGTGGCCGTCGATAAAGGTGATTATGTGTCCAAAGGCGGGCTGGCGGATGATGCGCTCATACACGTCGTAGAAGTGCGCCTCTGGGAGCGAGATGCTCTCGAGGTCGCAGCCGATGGAGCCAATGACGAAGACGTCGAGAGTGGCCTTGCGAAGGAAGCGCTCGACTTTGGCACGGTCAGCTTGCATATCTGAATAAGGGGGAAGGCAGTGGGTTTAGCTACCGTCAACCAACTTGCGGTCTTCACCTCCCAACTCGTGGCTGATAGCCTCGCAAAGCAGACGGGCCTTGTTTTGGAATACGGGGAGCATTCTCCGGGTATTTTGGTTCGAGAATGCCTCTGTGATGATGTCTCTTAGCCAACATGTACGTCCAACATTGCGTTTGAAGACTCACTGGAAAGCTGTGTCCGCTGCCTCTTCCTGTCATCGCCCTCAGAGAACATGAGTCCGTGACCGGTGATGGGCGAGAACATCCTGCCTGCCAGCTGGGACTTTCGAAATGAGTAGGCCTTCGTTTGTTGAACCTCCTTGAAAGCCGCAAGGCTGTTGACCATGAGCGTCTCCGTGTTGCCAATGGTCAAGTACCGCACAAAGGGGGCATCGGGCCACCTGCGCATCCATGAAATAAAGATATCGGCGGGACCAGGAGTTTTGATCTGGTTGAGCATTTGTCCGATGAAAAAGTGTCCCCCCTGGTGTTTTCATCCGTCAGCGACAATCCCAATGTAGTTTGATGGAGTTCAACTTCGGAAGATTGAAGTTCTGTGGTAAACTCTTCATTAGGACGTACCTCAGGAGTTGGAAGATGGCGCATGGGCGACACCCAGTAAGGATAGATGAAAACCCGGTAGCCTACTAGCACAAAGCCCTGCGTCGCAAGGGACGCAAGAAAAAGTAGCCCGGCTGTGAAGAGATTGACATGGTGAAATCTCCAGGTAAGAGCGATGATGAGGAGCGACGCTCCCACACAGAGCCTTGCAGCCATCCTACAACAGCGATCTTGTCTGCAATGATAAACAAATGTCCAAAGCACCAATACGAGACAACGAAAAGCAACCAAATATTAGGGCAGGAGGACTACTACACAGGGTCTAAAATCGCAAGACAGAGTGCTAGAGGGCAGTAATGGTGAGAGTGAGTGTAAGTGAGTCGAGGAGGGCGTTTGCGAAGTCGGATGGAAATTTCAAAGGTCTCCTCCTCGTCTCCAGCCACAGCACAAGTCAATGGGCACCGTCAGGCTTTTGTAGAAAAACTCCCAGAGCCCTATCCCAATAGTTTTTCGAATTCCTTTTTGTTCTTTTTGGACATCAAGCCCATCCATGTGCCCTCCTCCCACACCCCAAAAGGAGGGGGCCCGGCGGCAGAGCGGAGATTTCATAAACATCGAGTATGCAAAGCCTCCTCCAAACTGCATTATAACCGATCCCACCAAGGATCTTGAACCATGTGTCGACCAACAAATTCTTCCAGACAAGCAAACATTTCGTCACACACTGAGCGCCACCAGCATAAAAGCTCAGGATGGGGAAGAAATACATCCCGGCTTGGACTCACCGCAAGATCAACTTGCAATCTATTCTCGTCGTCACACAAGGATCTCCTCATCAACTTCCCCGGCAAAAGTCTCTCGCATGGCCACTGGATCTGGCTTCATGGGAACACAAACTGCTGAATTACCCCTGACGGCAGCGTGACACCCACGAGGGGGGTGGAGTTGGGATCGGAAGCTACAACAAACGTGAGGCTGGTCCCTGTTCAATCCCCGTCACCAGCGATCAACGACTATCTGCAGAACGGGGTGTGCGTCCATGCGCGAAAAGGCGAATACGCCTGGAGACGATGGCGGTCTCGTTGTCCTCGGTGCCCCAAGTCTTTGAAAGCGTCCGGCTGACAATTGTCCCCCTCACCGTTGGGCGGCTGCAGAATCGCAGGCAGCATAATCATGAAAGAACGCCGCCGGTAACCTTTCCGAGTATTGAACAGCAAAGCGGATGCTGCCGCGACGTTACACAGGCCCAGTCGTTTGGAACAACCCTCCAATCGACTCCAACTCGCCTCCTCGTCCGCCTCTCTCGACTGAGACACGAGAAATTGCCGTCTGATGCGTCCTGCAGGCCAGACAAGAGGCAGAGCTGATAGGTCCGGAGTCCCAGATTGCGTGGAAAGAGACAAGAGAAGACTATTGACGCTGGCGTAACCAGTCGGGAAGACCTTGCGAAAGGCTCTCTGTGGTTCACCGTCGCTGCGGCCGCCGATGCGACCAGAGACGGGTACACGCTGCATCGACGACAATTCCTATGCAATTCGCTGCACATGCGCACGCGCGAGATCATCGTCGCCATCAATCACTCCGCATCAGCATGTCGCGGAGCATCCGGAATTACCCTCATACAAGCTTATTGGTGGATGTATTTCCCCTTGTACGACCTCAAAGTTGCAGGTTGGCCTAGTTGACTGGCTATTCGGCGGTTGCGTCTGCTCTTCACCCCTCGCACGGTACCTAAGAACTTTCTGCGAGATCTGAGCGAGGAATTCCGATGTATTGTGATTTCCCGGGGGCCGCGGCCAATGTCTCTGATCCAGTCGGCGGGCGGGGATACGGGAGAAGGGGGTGTGAGGCCGCGATCGATCGTACAGAGATCTTTTCCCAGGACCTGGGAGCGACGTCGATTCCCGAGAATCGCCTACGGATATTAAGTGGCTGAAACCTTTGCTGTGATTGGATCGGATTTCTGCAGTTCTTGCAGCCGCCAAGCGTTGATGAGGAGATGCTGAGCGGAGTTGAGAGCGGCTGAAGACTTCTCAAAGACGAGGCAGTTTTCTTTTCTGTTGTCACGAAGCAAAGATGTGGTGGCTCAGGTGAGTGATGACGCAGTTTCAAGGGTTTGATGAGAAGAGTTCCAGAATCAGGGCGAGCAATTCAGACCCGGCAGAGGGTTTCTTCTATCTGCAGGCTGTCGGAGATCACGGCTCATCATGACTTGCGAGGGTGTTACACGAGAAAGGATGCCATGGCCTTGTCAATTTGTAATCTTGTATGCTTGTATCCAGGCGCCCGGCAATGTCTCACACCCCTCCTACGCTATGGGTAAATAGCCTTAGTGAGGTTGCAGATGGGGCTGGCCGTGATTACTGATATGGGCCGTCATCTGAACTTGCGCGTGACACGAGACATGACCAGCATGATCGTGGGAAACCCAAGTACCTGGCTTTGGACTTGAGGTGACAGCCACGATATCGAGGGTAGTCTCGCAGTCACACTTCATGACTATTTTGGGAGCAAGTCAATTTCAGAATTGTTCAACGTGAGAATTCAAGTATTGTACCGGTGCCTGCTTTTGCGTTACGCCACACTTCCAGACCTCGGCCAGCTCAGTGGAACAGACTGCCAACGAGTACATTTGTATACATGTGGCGACGTATGTCACGCAGGACAGTAAACACTTATGCAGCTTTTGATTCTCCTCAAGGTCGAGGAGGCAGCGTAGTCGTGATACAACCTTGTCTTTTCAGAAGTTGACGCAAGATGCGCCGGACGTCTGGCTTCATGTCAATCGATGTCTTGAGGCTCAAACCAAACGATGACCAGGGTCTGTCGCTGTTCTATGGGACATTCAATATCCGAGAGCTCCTTTTCGGAAAGCATTCGAGTGATGGAGACTGGTGCATCTCACCCCTTGTGTTTCATCGCCTGGATCCCTCTCCAGAGTCTTGATCCAGTACGATCAACCACTGCGAAGTCGGCCGCTGACCCATCAGTGAACTAATCCCACCGGCAGTTGTAGTAACATGGTGATCAATCATGCCATACTGCTCAAAGCGTTCGTCTGAAGGGGCAGAGCACTCCCGGTCGCTGAGTCTTCTGGGTCGGCGTATGTGCGTTGCTGCATCCCACCGGTAAATCAGGAAATAATCAGGGAATCGATTTAAGACTCACAGCGTCATTGAGCAGTAGTCACGATGAGCTCTACGTGTGGTTTCACCCTCGGCGTTTTTTTATGCACCGAAGCCGAAGACTCGGACTCAAAAACTCAACAGCAAGTCGCAGATACAAACTCCGAACTACTTCAAAGCCTTCGATGAAATTACACAATAAGAGTTTTATCCTGCTCGACTCTCCCGAACCTTTCTAAGTCGCCCTCTTGAGCTTCCCAAAGCTCCCTCTCTTCTGCATCAGGTCTCGATTGACATGGCGGAACCAAAATTAAACATCATCATTGTCGGCTCCGGCTTAGCAGGCTTAGCAGCCGCCAGTACTCTTCGAGAACACCACAATGTCACCGTCTACGAGCGTGGCAGCCAAGATGTCGCGACCGGTGGACAAGGCCTGTCCATCTATCCCAATGCTGAGAAAATACTCAAGACCGTAGGATTCAGCGCTAATCGCGCTGGTGCCGTCGGTTGCCAAGGGTACCGCTCTTTTGATAAGAGCGGCAAGAGGTTTGATGATTTCCCAATCGACTTCCACGCTCGATATGGCGGCGATATGTTGCTCATGAAGCGGTCTGATTTCAGAGCCGAACTTCTACGTCTCGCAACAGCCCCGGCCCAGGAGATAGATGGTGTCCGTGGCGAGCCTGCCAAGATCTTTTTCAACACTCCAGTGGTTGATTTGAACCCAGAGACAGCGACTATCACCTTGAAAGACGGCTCCACTGTCCAAGGTGATGTGGTGGTTGGTGAGTTATTCAATCTCCAAAAATTTCAAAACGCTTAACCGTGCAATCGTAGTTGCCGACGGCGTCCACTCGGCTTTACGCCATCGGATCACGGGCGACAAGGCTCACGCCCCAAAGAAGACTGGACTTACCCTTTTCCGTCTTGCTGCTTCGATTGAGGATATGAAGCGAGTCCTGGGTGACTCCTCAGATTGGCTGCCTCCACCAAAGGATGACAACCGCCTCAACTTTGTCCTAGCTGGGGACAACACCAACCGTGTCATCGTTCATTATCCAGTGGCACATCACAACTACCGGAACTTCTCTTGCCTTTTTTTCTGATAGTAGAGCAAATGTCGCGGAGTCATGGCATGCAGACGGAGAGAAGGAAGAGATGTTAGAGGTCTACAAGGACTTCCCCGAAGAGATCCTCAAGATCATGAGGTACGTCGCCGAACATTGGCTGCTACTAGGCCTTTGCTAATGCGGTGTTATCAGTGTGGCAACGGAACTCAAAATCTGGGATCTTCAGGATATGGACCCGCTCCCAAACTGGAATCGAGGGCGGTCCATCCTCATTGGCGATGCTGCTCACGCCATGACTCCTCTTCAAGGCCAAGGTGCGAACTTGGCCGTGGAAGATGGAGAGGGTCTTCAACTTCTTCGCCCCGGAATGTCCCACGAGGCAATCGCATCAGTGCTGCAGACAATCGACAAAGTTCGGCGACCACGCGCGACAAGAATTCTCCTTGACACTCGTAAACAAGCCAGGAATGCTACGATGGAAGAGAGGTTGTCAAAGCTGGACTTCAATTGCAGTTACAAATCCATCCATGAGGTCCTCAAGGCCGACACTTCGGGAGGAAAATGATGTATTGATTGCTTCTATGAGCTGTTTCTCGTGTACAAATGCGAAAGACATTAGAGCTAGAAATGAAAGGCTCGTGAGGTGTGTGACTAAAACACGGGCATCCTGGCACTGATATCTGCGGTAAATGTTGTTAGAACTGAAGAAATGATCTTTGTCGAATTTGGGCTAGGAGAATCACAGTACTGCTTGGGTAAAGTATCAATTTGAGTCACTAATTTTAAATTTTCTCGGCCTCTGGCAATCTGCTCAACGGGACTTGATTGCTCGTAAAGACACTCGGAGAAATCAAAACTCAGCTGCCGATACTCATAGTATCGTTTGCAGCATGTTCTAAATAGACGATTCCACGGGGATTTACTCCCGGGCAAAGTCCAACCAAATAAAATGTTCACAATTCCCATAAAGCTTTGAATCTGCCGTCCGCCTTCGCAAGTAGCACCTGGGGCGGACCATCCTCGACCACCTCCCCTGCATCCAACATAATCACCCGATCACAGGAAATAGCCATCTCCTTCCGATGTGTGACCATGATTACCGTATATCCCCCAAACTCAGAGTCCAGTATCCGATGAACTCTCTTCTCCGTCTCAGTATCCGCTCCCGATGTGATCTCGTCAAGGAGCAGAAGACCGCCGTCAACACCGGTTTCTCGACGTCTCACCCTGCGGCGTAGTACCGCGCGAGCAACACTGAATAACTGCTTCTGGCCTGCACTGAGTTCAGCTCCGCTGATCATGGCATTAAGTCCGCCCTTTTCTTCGACAGCGGTGTCGAGACCGACATCGCAAAGAATGGCAGCACACTCTTCATTAGTTGCAACGGAGGCTGGGTCGAGATTCGCGCGGAATGTTGTGTCTTCGGGGAGGACAACGGGATCTTGTGAAGCTGAAATGACGCGCTCGCGGAGGGTGATACGATTGACGGTGTTGAGGGGAACGCCATCAATCATGATGACAGGCTGATGATTTGCAGTAGCGCTCGCTTGCAAGGGGTCGATGAGGCGTAGCAGTAGTGCAAGGATAGAGGATTTGCCGCTGTTCGAGGTCAGTAAATATGGCTCGGCAAGGGGGTTTGACGGCTTACCTTCCCGTCCTTCCACATATAGCAACTTTCTGTCCGGGTTCAAAAATCATGTTCAAACCTTCCAGGACCTTATGACTGCCATTGTAGCTTACGTCCACGTTACGTATATCTATATGCCCGTTCATTGGCCAGGCTTCATCAGGTATAACATCATCGCCTACGGAATCTTCCCTCTCAGTCTCCTCTTCGAATGCTTTAAGGCGACCGATTGCGCCAAGAGACGTTTCAAGACCGGTGTACGCGACCACAATTGTTGTCAGCGTGCCGCCGAGTGTGATGAGAGTAACCAGACCTGCACCGACGTTGCCCGTGTCAGATCTTAATTGCGTCGCGAGAGCTACTAGGAGGACAGCTACAACGGCCACTATGATGTTCATTGTTAGCATCAGCCACTGTTGTGCCATTGCCAACAAATATGAAGGACGCTGGGAATCATCGAGCAGGGTGTTGTTGCGGGCTAGTTGATGAGGAAACCAATCGAAAGCCCGGATGGTGGGCAGGCCATTCAGGGTGTCTAGAAAGTTGGTACTGGAGAAAGACTGGTTAGAATGCGGGCTGTTTGAGTTGAGTCTAAGGCATGGAAGTCTTACTAGAGAGGAGTCTTTGCCTCGAGATCAAGAATACGAAGCCGCTTGGAGGTGGGAAGATAAATCTTCTGAACCACCCACAGCAACAACACGAAGAACGGATAGCTAATTGCCAGCCAGGCTGAAGACACTGCAATCACGGCAGCCTGCCCAACGGCGATGGCAAGACAAAAGCAGAGGTTGTTAATCATGCGAGGCAGTTGCGTATCCATGATGTTCATATCCTGACTGAAAAGGTTTAGGATCTTGCCAACGTCCGTGGTGCTTAGAAATCGGAGGCTGCTATTCATGACTGTGTCGACTGTGGCATGATGAAGGTCTTTCCCAGCAAGACGTACGGCAGTGCGAAGCATGATGAGACCAGCAGGGAAAACGCAGATAACACCACCTGCTCCGATGAGGGTATAAAGTCCCATCCAGAAGGCGAAGCTATGCTGAGGCGTGGAAGACGTTGAGTCTGCCGACAAAAACTTGAGCCAGATTGTTGGGAAGTTGGCACAGAAGCCAACACCAATCACTAAAATAGCGAACATGATCAGCGGAAGAGGCTTCATGGTGGAAAGCCAGTGGCGGTAGACGGTCAAGTCGACGGTGGGAATGGTTGCTGAGGTAGGCTGGGGTTTTGGTACAATGACCGTCTTCGGAGGCTGTGATGCTTCTCTCGCATCCTTTGACCGGGATGTTTCCATCTCATCCGTTGTCGCGTCGTTCTTGCTTTGTCTTATGATAGCTTCTGGGATACTCGTGAGACCGAATCGTCGAGCTCTCTCCTGATCTTCTGTAATGTCTATGACTGTGCCGTGATCGAGAATAGTACCCTCTTGTGTGAGCGCAATGATTGAATCGGCAACCGGCAACAATTGTGTCGAGTGCGTAGAAATAATGGTAGTCGTGCCCCGCTTTCTTAGAAGTCCATTGCTTCCGAAGATGGCCTGGCAAACTTGGTGCTGCGTCGATGAATCTAGGCCGCGAAACACGTCATCGAGGACCAAGATATCTGCTTCATGATAGAGTGCTCTTGCGAGAGATATACGCTGCCGCTGGCCACCACTCAGCGAGACACCCTTCGTGCCCACAACAGTCCTGTCTCCAGCTGGCATGGTTGCCAAGTCGTCCAACAGCATTGCTGCCCGTATGACGTCGGCGTAGCGAGCTGTGTTGAGTGGAGAGAACCCAATGATGTTCTCCATGATCGAGGCATTGAAGAGAAACGGCGTCTGGTCGCAGTATGCTAGTTTCTTAGATCCCAAGGTGATGATGCCCTTGGCGTGAGACACCTCGCCAAGTAAAGCTCGACAGAGTGTGGATTTTCCGCTGGCAACGGGACCGACCACGAACGTGATGGATGACTGGGGAACGCAGATACTGATGTCTTTGAGGACGGGCTTGTCGTCTGTCCAGCCGAAACTTCCATCTTGAATGCTAATGAAAGCCTCTTTGCTCTTAACCTCAGTATCCGGATGCCCAGTCTTCTCATCAGTGTCAGTCGGGTCAACGATGTGCCTCCCATCCACTCTCGCCCCCCGAGCCAGAAACACCTTGATTCTCTGAAGGCATGCAAGAGAAGCAGCTATAATGGGCAAGCTTTGCAGTACGACTAGTAACGGTGCCGTCAGCAGCGCCAGAAAGGAGAGCGCTGTAAATGCTCGCGTTTCGTCCAAAACCTTTGGGCCGAAAGCGAAGGCTAAAGCTGGCGCAATAGCTTGCGGAAGCTGGCTCGAACTGGCACTAATGGCGATGAGGATGCGCGAGCGCTCTCCCACACGGATCTCGTCTTCCCTCTCCCGCTGTACGAGAGCCGCAGCGGGACGAATCATTCCAGACACACGCAGATCCTTGATGTTGCAGAGAACGACCGAGGTGGCTGCGATGCGTTTTTGCACGCGGGCCATCCACGCGCTTTGGTAGGGTACAGCACGTTTTGATATCGCAAACGAGATGAAGAAACAAATGAGGACGATGACAAGGGGGGCAAGGAAGGCGAGGCCGAGCTGCCGATGTAGAAGCCAAGAAGCAATTCCGATCTGGATTGCATTGGCCCAGACTTCGTGCATGAGGCGGAGGCCAGTGTAGATTCTCTCGACATCGGCACCCATCAGTGTGACGGCAGCCGAGTCGCCATCGCCCACATGCTGAATTTCGGCCGTTTTCTGGTAGATTGCAGATATCAGGTACGCGCGGAAGAGGGACTGAAAACGTTCTTGGTAGTACCAGTACAGGGCAGTTGAGATGGCGATACCTGAGTAGGTCAAGACTGCGACTGCGACGAGTCCGGAGGCGGTTGATGAGTTGTCTTCATTAGATGACAAGAAGCCCAGTAGGCGTTGGAGGAAGAAAGGTTGGCAGAAGGTGAAACCAAGAAGACAAAGTCTTGGAAGAATGGGCAACAGAACGGACCAGCCCAGCGGCCTCGCGAGCCACAGAACGAGGTCTGAGATAGAGGTTCCTTTCGACTCCGGGCTTCTTCGAGTGTCTAGCTTTGCGACAGAGATGGAAGTATCAAGTGGGAACAGATCATCCATTATCAAGGGCTTGTGGTAACCCTTCCACAACAAGGGATTGAGCCATGAATAGAGGCCAAGACTCAAGATGCTGCTCGTCTCTTCCGGACTGTGCTCGTCCGAGTCCCACTTAACCCACCGCCTCCGCTTCAAGCTCTCTAGTCCCAAGAACAAGACCTCGACGACGATTGCAGTCGTGAACAGGACCTTGAAAGACAGTGACAGGTGTTCATTATTTGGTTGGTCTGATGCAGACCAGAGGGAAGGACATCGATAGATGTCGTAGATCAGAGCGAGAAAGAGGAAAGAGCAAGCCAAAATGGAAGGCCGAGACCGTTTGAAATGCTCAAGTGGCGAGAGCGCGAATAATAGACAAGACGCGGTGAAATTGAGGGCTGTGGATGCTACGAGCTCCGCATTAGGATGGCCATTCTGCGGGCGAAGCACCACGACGAGAAGACCGAGTCTTAGCCCGGTGAATACGGCGCCGGCAACGAGCTTGGCGATCCACATGATTCCGGCGCCGCGCACAACGGACGGGTCCTGGGACCGGTAAAGGCGGAGTATGCGGAGAGCCGCGACCGCTGTGAAGGCGGCCGCAGTTGCGACCGAGAGCCAGAAGATCCATCGGTACTCGACGGCGGGGAAGTCGGGCGCGTCGCAGTCGGCGCGCAGGCCGAACGCCACATCTTTGATGCAATTATTGTCTTGGTCGTTCATGGTCAACATGAAATGGGCCAAGACCAGAGTCCTCCCACTACAGCGCCTGCTGCTGGAGGGACATGCTGCATCTTATGTCGCAATCCACCCCTTCAAAAGTTCCTGAAAGAAACGAAGGATCGGTGACCAATACCAGAGAGGAATAGCAGGCTTGGGGGAGATTTTCGAGAACACTGGTTGCCGATGTAACGTCTAACATTTTCATGTTGCCTACGGCATGATGAGGCTGTCTCATTGGTCGAAGCATAGGCCAGGGGGAGAGGTACATTGAAGCAGTCAAAAGCAAGGCATGGGCAACGCCAGCAGAGGCCTGCGGACAGTTGTTCGGAAATAAGGCCTGCGGGTGATTTGGTACAAGCAATCTTATTGCTGCACCGCCTCAAAGAACTTTCGTCTGGAGCAGAATTACCGCTCATGTCTACTACGGGTAGATAAGATAAGAGGTTGTGACTCACAGACGGGTTGAGGCAACTGGGAGACAGCGGAAGGGTGTGATTGAACCGAACATCAGAACGCATGAGCCAACGCAGGTTGGCAGAAAAAGTCAAATCATTCTCATAGCGAAAGTGGCCGTGTTTGTGGGGACGAAATGAGCTAGAGGGAAGAGAAAGCTAAGATAAATCAACTTCTCGGACGCGCCGCTATGGTGGTGGTTGACTAAGAGAGACATAAGCCGCATATTGTACGAAGCGTTCGCTATCTCTAGAGCCTGAGTCGACAAATTTGTGATCTCGAGCGTTGTCTTGGCCGAGTTTAGGCAATCGAGCAAGATCTGGGGCGAAGCAAAGCTCTCGGAGTCGAGATAGCGCACTTGAGAAGCAAAACGGCAGCTCCGTAGATTAATCTCGGGCAGACAAGAAGCAAAAACAGAGCAATCGACCGAAGCGAGAGGTTCCAGCTCGGGTCGAGCCATAGGAAGATGGCAACCACACATGGCATTTTATAACCCCATGATCAATGATTGGCTTCTTCAAGAACTGTTCGACTTTACGATGCTCTCGGACACCCACCTGGCGTGAACCGGAATGTGGGGAGCGTTTGGAACCCTGTTCCTCCAATCAAAGCCGTCCCGTATTTCTCGTACAAAATACGAAATCTTCCGAGGTCCACGGGCGGGGGGCAGAAGTCCGGCCAAGTCAAAGAGACCCTGTGTTCCCGTACTCCTCAAAGCGCCCCAAGATGCATCAGCGAAGCCAATTGCCAGTGTCTGGCCCTCATCGGAAGATTCTAGACGACGTCACATGTATGGTACAAGCGGGATGGAATATTCGGTCCCACTCAGCCAATCCTATTCGACGTCTGTAGCCTGATCGATACGTACGCTCGAGCACTCCGGTCGGCGTGAATGCGATCGCGAACGATGGACAAGGACGAGAGAGACGACCCAGACCAAGCTTCGGCTCAAGAATCTCTGGCATGTAAGGCGCAAAAGCACAAGGCTGCGGCTGGCGCTGGCTGTTGCTGTGGTACATGTCGTAAGAACAAGAGAAGATCCCATAAGAAATCTCGAAATGGGTGCATGAATTGCAAGAGGAGAAAAGTCAAGGCAAGCATCCCACCCCTCGAGCTACCGCCAACCCTACGCTCAACCCACTTCTGAAGACGGCCTAGACTGACTCTGTCTCCCCGGTGATTAGTGCGATGAAATCAAGCCCGAGTGCGGCAACTGCGTCCGGTTCTCGATGCATTGCGACTTTGCCCCTCCGTTGACGAACCCGCCCGCCCACTCCCCGACCGCATCATCATCCCCGACGCCGACGCCGAAGAAACGGGGCCGTCCGCGCAAGAACTGGGACGATATCCAGAAACTCCCGACGCCGACGGCCTCCGAGCCTGAATCCGCCCGAACACCAATCACCCCAGCCGCCGTGCCCGCGACCGTCGAGCCCTCCTTTCCCCAAGTCCTGAACCCGGACGATCTCGAACTCCTACACCACTACATGTGCCACACGGCCATCACACTGGGCGACGCGCGCGTCTGGAGAGAACACGTTCCGCGGCTGGGTTTTCAGCACCATTATGTCCTGCACATGGTCCTGGCCATCTCGGCGCAGCACCTCGCGAGGTTGCGCCCAAGCCACGCCGGTCACTACGAGGCGCTGGCGGAGCGCCATTCGACGAGCGCCCTGCCCGATGTGACCAATATCATCCCGAAGTTGAACAAGGACAACTGCCAGGCACTCTACCATACGACAGTCCTGGTCTGTCTGTCGACATTCGCGAAGCGGCCGAGCCCGGGACATCTCCTGATTGTGGCGGAAGAAGGCGAGGTGCCCTGGTGGGCGTTACTCCGTGGCGTCAAGTTCGTCGTCAAGACGATGGGCATCCAGACGATAATAGCAGGGTGGAAAGATGATGGCGTGACGTTCGAACAGACGTGGACGCATTGCCCGCCGATGCCCCCCCCTGTGCACAAGATGGTGCACTGGGAGAAGCGTTTCGAAGAGCTCGCCGATCTCGTCGCCACCGCCCCAGAACAGGACCGGCAGATGTACACGACGTTGCTAGGATCCCTGGAAGAGTGCTTCAAGATGACTTTCGGCACACTAGCTGAGCCTGTAGACCAGGTCCAGGGGAAGTTCGAGTGCATCATGCGCTGGCTGTACAGCATGGAGGATGATTTCGTCGTCCGTCTCCAGCAGAAGCACATCCTGCCCATCATATTGCTGGCCCATTTCAACGTTCTCGTGCAGACGTTGGAGCACTTTTGGTTTATGCAAGGTTGGTCGGAGCATCTTATGAGCGGTCTGTTTCAGGTCCTGGAACCTCAGTACAGCCACTGGCTCCGATGGCCCGCGGACCAGATCAAGCGTCCTGCCCCCTCGGATAGCGGTGTGTTGTCGGTACGCAACATCATCGACTGAGTGGTACGACGGTATAGCACGCTTTGCTTCCATTCTTCGGTTCACCCCCTGTTCATGGCAGAAGCTGCAGTAACAAGTGGCTTGATATAAGCATGATACTGGAATCAACTCGACCATCGGCTGGGCAGCTATGGCACTGTTAGACGAACTATCCGTGGATGCAATATCGCGATGCCGCGATCCAACCGATGGTCGCTGAGTTGTTTCAAATGGGCCATAGAGCTGTCTTATTGCATGGCCAGGTCTTCATGCACTGCAACTAGCGCGTCATGCATCGCACGAGATGATGATGTCGGCGCTCTGATAGAACAAGAGGAAAGGCGAAGCTTTCTCGAACCAGTCTTGGAAGGTAAGTTCGCATACCAGTGCTACATTGGCCAAGTTCATCCGACAACTAACTTCTCGTACAAAGCTGGGATAGGCCAAGTTGCCATGATGGTTCCCGTCGATGACTCGGCATGCAGAATTTGAAGTCCAATGAGGGAACTTCAGCCAACGTGCCGGAACAAGCCGCATTCTAGACTTCGCACGGGTTGGGGGGCAGAGCGAATTACGGCGCAGACGAGGGTTAGGAGCTCACGTGCCGCTTGACGCATGCGGGTGGTCGCAGGCCTCACCACACATGCCGGAAGGAAGGGAAACGTTTATCCTATACCGACGACCTGAGAAGGACGACTGATGGGTTACATTGCGGCCTAGCATCTCAAGGTTGAGAAGGAGTCGGGACTAGTCATGGGTGTGGCCTGGAGGCGGGGGACGCCGGATCTTCCGATGTTTCTCATCTAAGAATCTGGAAATTCCATAGATCACCCAACGAACCCTTCGTCCCTGTTGGGCAGCAAGAAGGGGAACAGACTCTGTGAGGCACATTGCCGTTCCCATACTCTCTCTCCTTCTCCAGAATGAATGCGACTGTAACTTTGCACTGCCCTCTGTAATGTAGACCGCCATTCGTGATGAAGCCTCGGTCGTGCCAGTCCCTTGTCCCCAAACGGAAAAAGACCCTGAAAAGATGAGCCTAGACTCCGCGCCGCCGTTGCATGTAGAGGGCGACGATCTATTGCAGGACCCTCACCCATCCGAACCTAAAATCACGCGTTTGAAAACCTCCCATCGTCGTTCTTGGGATCTCTATGAAACAGCGTGTTTCCACGTGGGGGATGAACCAGACCCGATTTCCAGGCACCTGGTCCCTGGATTGTCCTTAACGATAGTAAGCTAATTCTCCGAGAGCACGTCCATGGTGTTTCCCACTTAACGACCCGGCAGCCGTTCCAACAGGCGATGCGTCAATAAGTAATCGTGGCATCAGTTTCATTTTTCCCCCCTTGCCCCCGCGAAGCACGATCCAGCCTCTTGGTAACGGCTTGGGAGGGGCCATGCGAGGTCCCGAGCAGCCGGCGTCGAGGGCTCGCTTCCCAGCCAAGCATTGTGCAACTTGCCGGAGCGAATCAATCCTGGTCCTTTTAAGACGGATTTCATTGATAGATGACTCTGGAATGGGTTTTTAGTATGTAGTTTGTCGACTTGGAATGTTGAAATTCGCCCATAAACTGCGCATAAGCGAACGTCTTTGTCCACTCCAGACTCGTGAACAGCAAGACACTGCGCCAAGCAATTGTCCAAACCCCTTCCCACAGCCATGTCGTACAACCACACATTGAAGAAAATGCGTCAAATCGTGTTCTGCCTCCCCGGGCATCTCAGGATCCCATTGACCCCATTTTTGGCCCTTTTGTACGTTCTCAATTGCGACTAACGCGACTTGTTGGGAGTGGCGGACGGCTCCGCTGGTCCCGATCGCAATTGCGATCGAGGGATTGCTTCTTAGTCGTAAGCCGCCCCGTTGAGCAATCCACCGCGATCTCTCTCTCTTTCCCATCCCAATTCACCTCTCTGAATGCCTTGAACCGGTTTCGACTCTCCTCTGCTCTCTTTGACCGACTTTTTTCGTGGTTGTGTTGCGTGTGTGTGTGTGTCCTGTGTCGTGTTCAGGGTTGATGGCCGCTCTCCATGTCTATCTGACTTGAACCGAATGGTGCTCAACAACACGCCAAAGAGGTGAGTTAGCCCCAATCGGGGGCAAGCCTGGCCATGAACCTTGGCCAGCAGAATACTCGTGCGATTACATGAATT